ACCTGCCAATTAACGAGTAGAATTGAAGGAGACGGACAAACGTTCTGAGACGTCCCAAATTCTGATCCACTTACCTGTTTGTGTATGCAAGTAGCAGGATATAACCCCTCATCATTGCAGTGGAAAAAACCTGCTTTCCTGTCATCTGGACGGATTATTGACGGCTATAAAATCTGGGAAGAACAAGCCGGTGGGTTGTCATCAACATCTGCGACCTCCCCCCCCTCCATCAGCGGCAACGGCTACGATTTCAACAACAGCAATGTCACCAACACCAGACCCCCAAATTTTATATAATATAATTTTATATATATATAATATATATAATATATATTTTATATATTATATATATATAATATATATATTAGCGTTGAATTCAGATATCATTTATATTTTTCATTTTTCATTTTCTTTAAGGTAGGATCAATATTTCATATTTAAGTGTTTTATATTTTAAATTTTCTAAATAATGTGTTTATGTTTGTCAGTTTTTGCTCTTTTTCTATTCATTAATTTTCCTGAGGAGGAGCCAGCCTTGGTAATACGTCTGAAGTTGTTACAGGGCTGAGTAAGCCTTCACACACAGCTAAATTAGAAAATAGTTATGCTATCTTACAAATGCAAAAAACTAAACAAGAATATATTCAGAATATCTCTGATAATGTTAAGAAAAGCTGATATTTGTGTCTGGTCGACACAAATGAGACTACAGAATGCTTAGAGGTTTAAAATTTTTAGGGCATATAATGGGAAATGTGAAAGTTGGAAAATATGAGACAGACGAGATGAGGTCGAAAATAAAAAGCAATTACGCAGATAAGGAATAGAGAATAAATTTGCTAGAAACAAACAAATTAGAAGGATGTAATTATATGAAAATTAGACAAGACCGTACTAAGGAGAACAGATTGAAAATAAAGGACTACATGAACATCTATCAAATGGTTTCTTAAAGAACAAACACAGGATAGAGAGAACCACTAAACATGCAGAGGAGTGAGAATTAGTGAGAAATGCTTTTGTAAATATTTTGCATGCTAATTTTGAATGAATTATTATAAAGAAGACAAAACCTGATACGGTTTTAATTAAAATTAATCAGGAAAAATATTTTTATATGAGGTCGTATATGACGGAAACGGCTCAGTGTTGAGAAGAGAGAGCAGGGAAGGAAGGTGGAGTAACAGTATTGATAAAAGAAACAATACGAGTTAAGGAAATTGAAGTTCAATTCTAAAAGTTTCTTGAAAATTTTAATGATAAAAAGTAAAGTTGAGAAACACAAAATAGTCAAAATAGTGTAAAAAAAATATTGGAAAAAATCATTAGAAATGAGCTGAAAAATACCCGAACAGCGTAAAAAATTACTTACTAGTAAACAAGTCAGCTTCCGCTCTGCAAACTCATGAATATCAAATATATTTAGCTATTATGGCAGCCACAGAAATTGTAACTGCGGCTTGTGGTGCCCACCATAAGAAAACACGATAACAATTTGAAAAGCCAAAACAAGAGCTACAAAATGCAACTAGAGTTAAAAAATGAGTTATGATGACTGGCTGAAAGCAATAAATATAGGCTAATAGGAAAAAACGAGATAACCACATAAAGTCATAAATTGACACGAAAGAATAGATATCTGCAACTGGAATGACCCAAGTCCACAACTGTGAATTGAAAAAATGTGCAAATGAAAGGATACTAGAATTTTTTTCTTAGAGTGGTTGTCAGCAAAATCCTTCAGAAGAGGTAGTGAATGGTACAAACACTGCAAATTAAAAAAAAGTGTGATGAACAACTATTGGAGGTGGGACACAAACCATTGAAAAAAAAAAGAAATAGTTTCCTGTAACCCCCACCATCGTATAACAAAAGAATTTTTCACCAAAACCACAAAAATGTAAACCATAAGAAAAATACTTACAACAAAAACTTCTTAACACCAAAGACACAAACAAGGGAAACCAAGAAATTCCTAAAACCCCCAAGAAATTTATAAACCAAAGCAAACAAGGGACAAAAAGGCAATCTCCAAAGAAGTTAGTTTCTTCGGAGGGGCCAAATCCCTCAAAAAATAACGTACCGGACATTTTCTCCATGTAATTGATTTGATTACAAGTTTATACGAGGAATTTTCCAAGAGGGTCTTACTGAACTGGCGTGGCGTGCCTGGGACTACTTAGGTTCTCATAGGGCATCATTAAGCCTGAAGCGACCCCAGCGAGAGGAATCGTTTCAAGGTTCGTTGCGACAATGGTCAAGCTGACTCAGAACGGATGGCAACGGTGTTTATCATGGTTGGTGGCACGGCCGTGTCTTGGTCATCCTCTCCACCCAACAAATAATCACCTTGGCTAATGGCTAATTTTAATAGCAGGATCCTTTGTTTATGAGATTTTCTCTCAAAACATGGAGATTTTCCGAAAGAGAATCGGATGTGTTTCTTAGCCATAGTCCTCGAGTGACGTGCCAGGGTAACTACATACGTCTTATGGATAGTAGCCCAATATCTCGCTGTGAGCTAGATGTTGTAGCCAAACACTTTTTCCTAATATCATGTGTTAGCTCATTCTCTTGTTGTCTTGCCCAAATACTTTGCTCTCCTAGTGGCGTGAACTAAAAGTTTCCGGTCTCATACGTTTTGGCTCAGTGTCTCGCTTCTTCTGAAAATCGTAACTTGTTATATCACTGTCCTCTGCAATAAAACATTCTTACAAAAATAACATGCAAAGTTAACCAGCAATTTATGCATACTTTTTCAGATGCGTAAGTACAAGCAATGTCAATTTTTTCCCCAGCAGTATTGAAAGAAATGGCTATTATAAACGCGAGACCTACAAAACAAATCCAAATATAGAAAAATAATTGGGTGAAAGGGAGACACCTCAACAGTATAATATATCAGAAGTTGATATAGAGATTGGAAAATAGAAAATAAAAAGGCCAGAAAGCACATGGGAAAATGCAGCTGCGCAAATTTTAAAACAAAATAAAGGATGTGCAAATAAGCATACCTCAAATTTAATTGGTATACTAAGAATTGGACACAGTCGTCTTTAAAATAAATACTGATATTCTCAGCTATGGATCTGCAAAATGAAATCGAATAAAGATAAAGGAAAGTAAACAAAAATCAATAATTAACAAAATTAGTAATGATTAGCAGCAGGGACAGAAAGTGCAAAGTAGAAGCAAGGGCAAGTAACGCCAGAGTTAAGTAAACGCAACTGGTGATGCTTTGATATATGTTAGCATAGTAGCAATGCATTAACAGAAATACAATCAATTTATTACTATCCCGCATAACCTGGGAAAACATTATGCGAACTAAATAAAAAACAAAAATTAGAAAAGTTCAATAAGATACATAAAGTGTCAGTCTAAAATGCATCCCACCGACAGAATTTTTTTTATTCATAACTTTATAGGAATGTTAAAAAAATCCAGTGTTAGAAGAGGAAAAAGGAAGTTATGTGATTTGAGGAGAGCTCTAAGCTACGAAATTACTCACACTCCAGAAAATACGAAGTAAATACACAGCATCCGAATACCAAAGGTATAAATAACTATGAAACAAAACTACAAACTTCTAGGAAGAGTAAACTTTATTTAATTAAAATACCATGTGAAGCTATCATAAAGACAGACATATACCACAGAACAGAACCCCATATAAATGAAATAGACATAGCACCACTGTAAACCACATCCAGAAAACGATCAAAGCCTAAACTGCATGTCACACAAGCGGAAGTAATAACGGTTGCAAGAGCAAGGGCAGTGGCTTTGGCATCAGCAGCAGAGAGATGTAAAAACAACGGCAAGAGTGGCGGCTTCAGCTGTGGAAGCTTTTAACCATTAACTCTGGTTTAGACCATACCCAAAATCTTTTCTTAGGCACAAGAATGAAGCCAAAGAAACTCTCACTGAAATGATTAATTTCCCCATTACATTGGCCGATAAAAGGGGAAATGAAAGGTGGGGTTTTCTTCAAGCAAAGCCACTCAGACCAGGCCACGACGGTATTATGACACAAAGTTGGAAGCTTAGAAAAAGAAATATGCACAGTGAGGATGCATAAATTAAGAGAAATCTTAAACGATCAATATGAATCCATAGCTTTCTTTTCTAGTGACATGCGTAGAAGATCCTGTGATTTATATAGCACATTAGCTACAGGAAAAAAAAAGTAGAAAGGTTGGAATAGGTGGGTGGTGGACCTCCTTGTTAACTCCACTTCTTCCTAATTGCTCTTAAACAAGGCGCTGAGTACCTGCATCTTACACATCTTAGTAACTTAACCAGAAATAACAAAAAAGGTACAATACCGTGACTGGAACGATACACAAATAACCCGCATATAAAAGAGAGAAGCTTACGACGACGTTTCGGTCCGACTTGGACCATTTACAAAGTCACACTAACCAGAAGTGGAGCAGGACGGCTATATATAGGCAGGAAGAGGTGGTGGTAGTAGTAGTAGTAATACAAGAATGGTATATAATACCGACAAGATGAAATTAAGACACATGCGCAACGCCCGGGCATCTCTGTCGTAGAAGCCTCGCCATCCAGCCAGCCACTGGATGGCGAAACGTCCACAATAAAGACACCCAGACGCCGCACATGTGTCTTAATTTCATCAGTAGTCGTAGACGCCTCGCTGGATGGCGAGGCGTCTACAATAGAGATGCCCGGGTGTTGCGCATGTGTCTTAATTTCATCTTGTCGGTATTATATACCATTCTTGTATTACTACTACTACTACCACCACCTCTTCCTGCCTATATATAGCCGTCCTGCTCCACTTCTGGTTAGTGACTTTGTAAATGGTCCAAGTCGGACCGAAACGTCGTTGTAAGCTTCTCTCTTTTATATGCGGGTAATTTGTTTAACTTAACCAGAAATCTCACGTCAGGTTCAAGAGTCTTGTTGAACCCTTACGGGTTCCGACTCTCAAAATGCAAATTGTGTAACAAAGAATTATTATTAGTACTTACAGTTAGACGGGTAGTTAGGGAATTCTTCCTTTCCATAATTAGTATGAACAGGATTTTATATCAGCCAGAGAATTTTATATATCAGCACTTTACCTGAAACAATGTGACTTAATTAGAAAACGAAAGCAAACAAAATAAAAAATAAGCATAATTCTGTCAAAGTTCAAACAATGGCTCAAGTCCAATTATATACATCAGACAAGTAGATTATTAACAATTGAAGCATTCTGAATCCGTCACACTTTTTTAAATATTTTCATGGAGACGCCACCAATACGTAGGGTTCTTCCAGCGCCTGGAGAATGGGAGATAATCAGGTTTGATCAAGTGAAATGTAGGGTTGCTCCAGCTCACTGGATCAAGAGGTATTAACCAACGTCTAGGCATCCACTTGAAGGGACTGGTTTGAATATTTTATTTAACGTGTAAAAAGTTTCCAACTTACATATCCATTTACTGCTTCAAAAACATGATGGCGAACCTACCCGAGGTACAACGATTGTAGATACCTAAACACAGGTTATATAGGCTAGTTGTAAGAGTTGTGCTATTTAAACTCGATACTAGATATGTAATCAATACATTATAAGTTCTTGACTGCCAGATCTCTAAACTACACACAACTGAATAAGTTAATTGGAGTAAGAGATGCGTAGGTGCTAAATAAACCCAGAAGTGCTAGACCCATAGAGGTTATACAGATCCTTTGATCCGAGGAAGGTGAATTGCAAATCAGGTATAAAGATTATTGTAATAGTGAAGGCGTAGAGAACATTCTGCTCCTGGGAATGGGGAAAGCAATCATGTTTGATGCAAGGAAAGAGATAACCTCGGGGAAGCGCTAAAATCTTTGGGATTACACTGCTTAATGCGCAATAAAAACAACAGTACCGGTTCTGTTCTGTAAGTCTTAGCATCACTAAGGTAGTTCCTTACTTCTAAAGCATTTCGTTCATTTATCCTGTGTTTATTTTGTATACACAGTCTCAGAATGCAGTAGTGCATAAATAAATAGGACAGCTATGATGCATGATTCAGTATCGCAAAATTGACGCTGCAAAAAATGAATTGTTCATTTCCTATAATGTAGAATTCCTAAAACTGGACACTTATTTTCGACGCATTGAAACTGCAGCTAAAAGACAAAATATCACTGAACGAGACGCTATTAACAGTAACATGTTTAAAGATACTGGCAAACAACAGAGTGGAGTCATTTTGAATAATTTTAATATACAGATCGGTCATAAGACCACTTTGCAAGACAGCTAGGGAGTATAAAAGAGAAAATAAGACGTATATCATGTCAGAATCACACCGACATTTCAGCTTACTGCCTCCGCAGGATCAACTAACTGGAGTTTCTTTCCTTTCCTCGAAAGTAAATTCCCCTATGATTCTAATCCCTTATTCTAGGAACGAAGGTTGGGGATAAATTGAATGTAGTTGTCTGCGGTATGTTAGATACTATTATTTGAAAAAAAAAAATGTGTTCAAAGAGGGTAAGTCATTATTGAATTTTAACGGAATAAAAGCAGATTACTATTAACCCGTTAACCCATACAACGATGTTGCTTCTAGTATTCCATGATACACGGGTATGGAGTTTGAATGCATTTACAGCCATGCATTTGTTTTCATGTTGCTGAACACTAGCACAAAATTAGTTCACGTGGCTTGGAGAAAACCTTGAGTTTTATTAAGATATACCTTCATTAAGCTTAAAGATCCATCCTGTATGAAACACCATGTATAAGATAGATTGGATTCGCACTATTTGTCTTCCTGTCATAACTATTGCTATAATTTCTTTTTTTTTGTGGACCTATTTTGCCTTAATAACCCGTTTTACTTATTAAATACAGAAAGTAAACAAAAACTATATAATTTCGTTAATAAGACATCAGTGTCCCCGCCTCTATTATACATTTTATTTGTTAGTATTTGGGTAATTAAAGTTATATATTAGTACATAAAACAGTAAAAGTTACAGCAAAACAAGGAGACACTTGCTCAGAGCGGGTGATAACCTTGGTAGCTCCGAGCAGAGATTATAAAGAGGCATCATGGAGATAACAAAAAGGTAAATGAATATACAGTTTCTGCTCCACAGTAATTAGGGAACAAGCAGTCCTTATAATCAACGTAATGGGGTGGGAGGAGCTTGCTCTAGAAGAAGGACAATTCATTATAGCGCATATAAAATATTTTCGTATGATTTTTTCATATTACTATTATTGTAATTATAACGATCCGGCAAGCCTAAGACTTATAGGAGTCACAGTGCATGGAGAATGGAATCGAATCTGCTTGTCTCCATGACGGGGAAGACAGGTAAACTTCTTTGTACCAAGAGACCCTCGCCGGCATCAAGGATCATATATAAATTAAAAAACGTATCCTAAGGATCCTATTCTGTTATTTTCAACATGTAGTCTGTAAACCCTAAAATTCTAAAATTTATGTCATTAAACAGTAAAACTACCTGATGATATTCTGTCTCTTCTCCATAAGATCTCCGATTCTGTAGGATGAGGGAAGTATTGGGGCAGACAGAGATGCTGCCCTGAACGGTCATCTGTACATCGAAATGTGTATGTTTCTCTGTGTACATATGCCTCGAGTTTACCGTAGACCCTGTTACCCGGATTAAAATATTTCTTACTATCTAATTTAATGAATGACTGGTGCTAATGATCTCAAGTAGTCGATGTACCTAAAACAAGAATAAGGACGTATTATTAGGATGGGATTAATGTAAGAAAATCCACTGCGTTCGCAATTGAAAGTTGTGGGATATAACAAGAATATTTACAAAAAAATGTACAATTGCAGTATAAGAGTCAAATTAGAGGTTTCACGAAGCTTCTTTTGAATTGGAACATGCAGTTTTCTTTAGCTTCCCGCTCCTCCCGATGACCGGACGAGTTCTCAAATATACAGCACCCAAGTATAATTACAACGGTCAAACGATGCAATCATGCACATAAGATTTTTTTAAATATTTTTTCCGGTTATCTGGGAGAGGCAGATCATTAGGATATCAGGATTTATAGCTATTTGAAAACAGACTTTCTGGTTAGTGTTGTCATACAAACCAAAAACAAAAATATCAACGATGGTAACTAACCTGACAGCGAAGCAGAAGTACTACTTCTCTCAAGTATAACTACAAGAATTACAGATTAGGCAGGGGACACAGCAAGACAGCCTACATAAATTAACATAATAGCAGCTTGACATTTCGCGATTACTAGTTTGGATTCAGAGGGGAGCCAATGAGTCTCTTATCGACTGATCGCACTCACTGCACACGCCCTAGATCCTGCCCTGCTCCCAAGGTACAAATGGCCGGAGAAGCCCTGAAGACCTTGAGGGTGAGTGAGGTGAAGTCAGAGGTATGCAATATGGCTGGTAATACCTTGGATGCAGTGACCCCTGACGAGTGTGTGTGTGTGTGTGTGTGTGTGTAAGGGAGGGGTCACGCCCGGCCACAGCTAGGTCACCTCTCCGCACACATCTGGAAAGAACCCATTATGCGAGTTTCGTTAAAAAAAAAAAAAGAAAAGAAAAAAGGTATTTGTAGATAAGCCTTCCCGATCACAATAAGCAAGAAGTTTAGGGATTTTGGTGAACAAATATGTATTCTGAAGAGGGTAATAACTTTGGAGAATTTATTTAAATTGATGCCGATGCACAACCCTCTTGTTCACGCGAAGAATAGGATAGATTAGATTTGATTAGATATGTCGATACATAAAGGGCAAGGCTTTGAGGTGAGCTAAGGTACGATAACACCTCTGAGGTTGTGAAAAATATGAAGGAACTTTAATTCTTAATTTTATAAAACCGTTAAGTAAAGAAAGCGATTATGTATTAATATATTGATGAATAAGCACTAAACCCGTAGTGGACTTGCAATAATTGGAGAAATGGGAGAGGGAAGCAATCAGAAACTATCAAAGTGAAGTGTTGCTCAGATTCCGTCAAGCACATTCCTTGAAGAGTGTTCAGGGAGGGAGAAGGAGAGAGGGACAGGGAGAGAGAGAGAGAGAGAGAGAGAGAGAGAGAGAGAGAGAGAGATTGGAGATGGTTGTATCTTGGTGGTAAAAAAATACGTACTTTATCACGATCGATAACGTATTTCTTGTTAAGTTTCCTGAATGCAGTTATCTCAGCTGCCAGTCTAGCATATGCTGCTGATTGAATATTGGTTATACTATATGTATATACCTCTAAATAAAGGGTTTGTGTAAAAATCACCCATATTATATATTTTTTTTCAAATGACATTGTTTCCCTTCCATTTGATAGTCTCTTGCTAGAAATATTACTCATAATCCCACTCCTCGTGGTTTTGCATTTATTAATGATGAAATCTAGCAGCCACAATTTTTCAGTTTTATCAAGGGCTTCTTGACATGTCTTACATTTTCTTCATTTTATATTTGTCCATTTTGCATCGGCTGTCAACAAGAAGAGGCTGGTGTCTATTTTGTCTGTAGGTTATTTAGATTTATCTAGGACCGGATTATATTGCTCAGTTTTTTCTCTCTTAATATTGTTCTCTCTCGTCTCTCGGATACTTTCGAGATAATGGTTAACCATGTATAAACAGGGTGGCTAGAAAACGTTGTCCTACAAACAGTGTTTACAACCTAATGGGCCGGATTTCTTTTACGACCCACCCTGTACCTAAAGTTTGTGTCCAGTATTAATGGCCTCCTGACTGTCCAAGAATAGGCATTACCAACTCTTATCTATCCTGTTTGGCTTCCTCAAGTCTTTCACAGAATTCTTGTCGTTTTACGTTCTTATGTAAGACAGGATTTGCTGTCTCTTACCATATGGCTTTACGTGAAGAATTTACTTTACACAGGTGATCAAGAAAATTTTTTCCTAATGATTTTATTTCATCACTTTGCACAGTATGCATGCCAGGGATACTGACATGGAATTTAGGGACTAATGCTCGTTTACGTGTTTGAAAATTAGTATCTCATTTGCCGATTTACTGCTGCCATATAAAATTTTTCTATCGAATGTCTTATTCTGTCGACAGTACTTAACTGTTTTTCATTTCCATTCCGTAC